AGCCTGGCAGTCCACAGAAATAATTCTCAAATGGCTCACTCGGCATGGCGCGGCGACTTGATGCAACTCGATGCACCCTTGATTGACTGAGGCAGCTTTCAGGCCAGACGCCTGAAGGCTGAAGGGGAAGGGTTGCGGTGCAAACAAGGTGAGCCACGTATTGAGAAGTTCTTTGTCAATACTGCCCACTACTGCTTTGGCTCCTTCCAACCGCTCTCCCCGAGCTCTTTACCTTTTAATGGTCGATGGTGTCAACAGCGTCGATGCCCTCGTGCTACGCGACACACTTCCGACTCTGCCTCCGAATGCTTCCAAATCATGAAACAATGTCAGACAGGTTGGATGAGAAATTCGAAGGGCGGCGAAGGCAATTGGAGAGATGGGAGAAGCTGAGGGGTAAAAGTAGTTGCAGAGACAGCGAATTTTGCGCAATTCCATCTGACTGCTCCGAGAAGAATCGTCTAAATTTCGAATGCGGCTTGTCCTCTCAGATACGCAAATAAAATCCCTTCTCGAGGAATTCTCAACCTGTGGACCACTACGCTGCTGCCAAGAGGTGCTGCATGGGAAATCACATTCCAGCACAGATCTCGACACGAGTAACCAGGTTTTGTTCCCTGGGTACAGACGAAATAAGCATTGAAATCGTCGCATTTCGAATGGAAGTCTAAAGGGAAGCATCACGAATGGGATGAACCATATATTCGCATGGGTGGATATAGAAGAGGCTCAACGCATGAAATCATTCGTTACACATGGCGCTGCTGTTTATCGTGAAACTCACATTCATTGGTAAATTTGGTAAATTCTTGAAAGCCTAAGCGATAGTGGAGGATATACTATGTGCCATCGTTGCGGCAGACGGTGACCATCAGCGGTAGCTATGAATGTCTCAAACGCTCCTGACGCTGGTGGAGGCGGCACCCTTGGCAGCCCTTTACGGCCTATTTTTCTGATATCCCCCCGTCGTCTTGCGTTTCCTACACGCGGTGTTATTCAGAGAAGTTTGAGCTTCTCCCACAGTTTCTGCATCACTGCCCCCTCCTACTACCCAAATCCTGTCATTGACAGGCCCGTTTCTTGCTTTTATTGTCTCCACTCGCATTTGTACGCTTGCAGTGCTTCAGCGCTGCAAACCCAGTATATGTGAATGGGCTGTATCATTTAGAATAAACATAACTTCATCACTGAAAATACAAAGCTTAGTACCTCAAGGCTTTTCAACATGATTTCAGAAAACTTCACCTTTGTCGCACTTCTCTCCTGTATATCCAACGGCGCATTCACACTTATATGTACCAGTGCCAGATGTACACTTGTATCTGCTTCCATTGACACTGGGACAAGGGTTCAGTGTAACGCACAGATCTTCGACTAAAAATATAATAGCTAAAGAATGCAGAATCGTACACTTTTATACATTAAAGACAGCGCGCTTATCGGCTTTTTTGGCCGCGTGGGACAGGAGCGATTTTGCGAGCGCGGCCGCCTCGCCTCATACCCGCAGATTTCCAGTGATAACTATGCAAAACACGAATGACACAAAACACATCGAATGCGTAGAACATAATCGGTGGTAATTTTTCTCTCTGTGATCGACGTCAAAAGTATTTTTGACGTGATTGTGCCTGGAGAAACACTTACTTTTCTATCCTTGTGGTATTGCTTTTACTTCTACTAATCTATAATCCTTTCCACACTAATCTCTTTTTTCCTGTTCAACCCTGACTGATATTGTACTACCTCAATTTAAGAGAGGTTTTTAAGACATCAGCACTAGTTTGAAGAGTAAACAAAGTGACAAAACACAAATTACATACCTCTTCTTCACTCTAATAATAATAATTTCTCACACATTAAGGTGATCACCCTAGTTTAAATACTAAAGCAATCCATTCATCACTCACTATGTGCTGCTTCCCAAAAAAAAAAGGTGTTTATGTTCCATACATACATTGATGGTAATCATACTGGTGATTTTGATATCTTACTATGAGGTGTAGCATGAGTACGCGAATATTTCAGAAATGGGACCATTCTGTCATCTGAAAGACAGTCACATGAAGACTGTGATAATATCGGCAGGCCCCAATTCGCATGATCAGAGGATCAAATCGTCTGGTACCTAACACTACAATTTGGAGATTGTTTATTTGCTCCCAGTCGAGCTTGTGTGACGAAAAGTGTTATAGACTAATTAAAAGTCTGACTTCAAGTTCGAGAGCAATTTAAAGGAATCTTCCACGGACCATGGACCAGTGGGCGGGACCGGAAGTGGTTTTGCGACGAAATGCATGGTAGGTACGGATCCACGTTCATGGGAAGGTTTGAAGTGAATCCTGTTCACGTTCGTGCGTTCGACACGTGGATCCGTACCTGTCATGTTTTTTGTCACAAAAACT